GGAGCCCACGGTGCGGCAGGAGAGCTGCCGGGCAAGGAGGGCAGCCTCGGTGGGGAATGAGAGCGGCGCGCTGCGCGGCTACAGGAACTTAAAGGGCTGGGGGGCCGCGGCTCAGGGGCTCGGGACTGGAGTTTCAAAGCAGACTCCAGAACCCGGAGCGGGGAACTGGCATGAGCAAAGAAGGGCAGAGTGGCTGAGACATGAAGAGTCCGGGACATCCTGAGTCTGCCAGTGGCTGTCGTAACCTGAGAAAGTGGACTGGTCCTGGGTGGCCCCAGCGGGTGGCCCCAAGCCAGTGGCCTTGAGAGGGGAGCCCCTGCCCAGGGCCAGTCCACACCTTCATCACCCAAGCCCAGAGCACAGGGAGAGCCCGCCGCCGGGACTCTCTCCTGCTGGCGTGTTCCTTTCCGTTTCGCTCTCTGGGAGGGCAGGACGCTGATTAAGCCTGGAAGTTGTGGCCTCCGCACTTTGGCCCGACCTTTCAGGATTTCGGGGGTAGGAAGAGCCTTGGAGATGGCGTTGTCCAGCCTTCAGCCCGGTGATGGAGTCCCTGCAGGGGTTCCTAACACACGGCTTCCCGGCCTGGCCAGCGGCCCCCCGGTGACAGCGGCCGGGCTTCCTCCCTCCCCAGCAGCCATGCCTGGTTAAGCTGGGCGGGGTGGGGGTGGGGGTGCTCCCTGCAGAGGAGTCTGCTCCCCTCTGATCCTCCCTTCTTGGCCCAGGTTTTGCCCACTGGGGCCATCGGGATGGCCTTTCCCTCTGCTCCAAGCCAGCAGCCATGTCTCCACTCAAGAACAGCTTCCCGGCCTTTAGAGCCTCCTCATCACCGCTGTGGTTTGTCAGTGAGCTTCGTAGAGGGTTTTTTGGAGTGGGAGCTAGAGACATAAAGTCTTTATGATAAAGAGGGACTTTTGAACTGAGGAACCCACCTTATTTTATAGATGAGGAAACTGAGGGGTCAGGTCCCTTGCCCAAGGTCACACAGACAGCGCAAGGCAGCGCTGGGCCTCAGACCCCTGCCACACAGCGACCAGCGACCAGCCCAAGGCGGAGGGAGGCGGCTTTGGTTGGCGTTTGGACACTAACGCTTCTGTTAGTGTCCAAGATCACGTCAGCTTTTCTCGGGGGGCAGCTCCCTATTGAGATTCCATCTCCCTATTGATGTGTTGAATTTCAAGTCACCTAAAATCCCTAAATTGTTTATAACTTTATTTTCCCTTGGTTGTAAAAATAATATGTTTGTTGTAGAAAAAATAGGAAATACATAAAAATATCAAGTATAAACTTTTATAGCACTTCCTGTTGTACAGTTTCCCCACCCTGCACTTGGTTGCTTTCTTTTGTGGTTTAAAAATAGAACTCCACTTTCATCCTCAATAAGACCCTCTTGCCAGGTCCCAGCCAACTCTCCTGTCTCTTATAATCTTGTTTTGTTCCCAGTCCTTACTGTCACGTGGGCAGGGCTCAAAACATACCCGTGGAGTGACTGACTCAATGGCATGGCCACTCAGATTGTAGCTGCAGATACAGACACGCCTCGTTTTATCGCTCTCTGCTTTATTGGGCTTCAGACATGTTGCATTTTTACAAATTGAAGGCAGGGCCCTCCACAAGCAAAAAGATTACAGCTTACTTTACCGCGATACTTAACTGAGGCGGTCTGGGCTGAAGGCACGGCATCTCTGAGGCGGGCCTATACTGAGACCCTCTGCCCGGCCCCTCTCTCCTTTTTAGCTCCCAAATAGCGTCTTCGTTTGTTCTATTCAGATCCTTCCCTTTCCCAGCCCTGCTAGGTCCCGTCTCTTCTGAGAAGCCTGTTCTCTCAGATACAAGACTCTTTTTTTGGGCTCCGTAGCGCCTGTAGCCTGGCCACACCACTTGTCCTTAGCTATATGCGGACTTGCACTAACTCGTCCCCTCCCCTGGCCAGGGCCCATTTTGCTCAGTGGAGGAACCCCCGCACTTCCCTGGTCCCCTTGTGGCACCCCTCCCACCAAGTCTGGCAGCCGTCATGGGCCCTTAGCATGGGACTGGCCTGAGCCTGTTAGGGAGGGGCTCCTCTGAGCGGTGTCCCACGCATGAGGTCACACAGGTGTGATCCATGAGGAGTGGGAGAGGGCAGAGCTCAGCAGGAGCCCCAGGACCCCTCCTCCATCCCCAGCTTCCTGACAGCTTGTCCCCAGCTCCTCCAAAAGTTGACACAGCAGTTAATCATCTTGGTTCCCAACAATGGGCTCTGCTCCTCTTGGGACAAGTAAAAATGAGATTTGGTTGGTCTTTCACATTGGTGCTTTTAGAGATAAAGAGGAACCCTCTGTGCCTGGCTATTTAAAGAGACATAAGGATGGTTAGTGGCCCTTTCCAGTCCTCTGGGCTTCTCCTTGGGAGCCTGAGAGGCCAGACTGACATTTCTCTTTCTCCTCACAGCACCGAAGCACCAGCCCTCCTCCCGCTCCCAGGACATCCACCAGGGCCCAGGCCGGCGGCTCCCTCCTCCTCCACCTGCTCGGCTTCCGCCCGTCCTGCAGGAACAGGACGGGAGAACACTGAACTGGGCCTTGGGGACAGTGTCCCCAGAGCAATCAGGTTCTCCCTGAGAGATTCCAGGTGGGTGATGGGGAAGGCCAGGCCAGCTCTAAATTCCCTTCTCCTTTGCATTGTCGCGAGGCGGCACGCAGCCTCCTGGCATCTGCGTGGCAGTGTGCAGTGCTTCCGAGCGTGGACCCTGAGCCTGTCTGCTTTGTGCCCAGCTCCCCTGAGAGTCAGCGGGTAGACGTGGGGCCACCTGGGGCCAGCTACCTAAGTTCGCTCTGCTGGTGGTGACAGCCCCTGCCTCGGAGGGTGGCCAGGAGATCAAGTGAGCTGATGCGATTAAACCCGAGTGAGCCCAGCACAGAACAAAGTGCCACACACGTGGGGCCCTCCCTACAGCCGGGTGTCTGACCCAGGAGTGACAGGAACTCTGTGTCCTATTATTTGAGAATGCTGTTCTTCCTCCTGCGGTCCTAGCAGGCTGCTGGGGAGGGAAGCCAGGATGGACCCCCAGTGACAGCACCACCCGAGCGGACAGCCATGTGTCAGGGTGCGGGAGCAAGAGGCAAGCAAATAGAGCCCGCGGAGGCGGTCCCGCCGCAGCCCGCTGTCAGCCGGCACTGGCTGTTGGAACCAGAGGCAGCCACTTAGTGTTTGGGTCAGGTTTTTGTCTGAGGCCACTGATAACCAAGCATAAAAGGGTAAAGCTGTGAATAGAATGCATCAGTTGTTTTGATTAATTTTCCTGCAAGTGGAAAAAGCGGCCTATAAGAAAAAAAAAAAAGCAAAAACAAAAACAGTTTGTTTGATTTTAATAGTTGGGGAGAAAGTTACAAAATAAAATAGGTAACACAGAGCCTTGTGACTCCCTCAGGTTGGCAACAAACAGGGATACAGAAATGTAAACAAACAGAGCTTCCAGATAATGTTATTTTATCCTATAGAACTTCCAGAATACAGCAGCTCCCACACGTTCTAAAGTAAAATAAAACAAGAGTCTTCCACGTGGAGGGAATCGGCAGGGCTTGGCCCTCATCAGGGGCTGTGCCGCCGCCACTCCCCCTGGGCACGGGCTGCCCCGCAGGCTGGCTCCCGCGCCCACCCAGCTCTATCCGGGACCCACCGCCTTTCCCGCTATTAGCAGGAAACCCAGCCAAGCCAGGGGAGCCTGGCCGAGTCCCTCAGGTGGAGCCAACAGGCCCAGAGATGGCGGCGTTCCCCTTAGGCACTGGAGACCCAGCCTTGCTATTTCAGAAACAGTCAAAAAGAAGCTACAAATATAATTTATTAACCATCAGGAAAAAAGTTACCAATATAACTTATTAGCCATCTAATACTGTCCTCCCTCTCCAGGTTTCTGATGTGCCCAGTTATTATTCTGTCCAATTTTTTTGCTGTTGTCCTAGGGGTTTTGACTCAACCAGGCAAAGAGCGGGCCTCGCAGCCCGGTCCCTGACTCTTCTCAGTGCTTCAGGCTGTGGACTCGGCCTCTCGAAGAGTCATCCCACCTGGCTCGCCCCTCAAGCTATAGCTGGGCAAGGCCTCGCCCCCCCGAAAACGGTGGCTGTTCCACAAAAGGTCTGTCATCAGGAGATAAGGAGGCCCTCAGTCACCCAGGCTGGCCTAGGAAGGATGTGGGAGGGAAGAGCTGATGTGACAGGCTGTCCTTGCAGCAGGGGATGGACAGAAAGGGTGGTGCGCCCCCCTGGCAGGGCCCGGGGAAGGACTCAGGCCAAACATCTCAGGCAGTACCACGGGGGAGGTGGGTGTTAGGCAGCTACCCCAGAGCCACGGCCCAGGGTTGTATAAAATGTCCTGGATAAATAGAACCTCATGGGGAGGGAGATAAACCAGCTCCGTCCTCACTTAAAAATAGTCATCATCGGCACCAAAAATATATTAATATCTATACACTTGCCATTAAAAAAAAAAAAAAAAGGACATAAAGTTTCCTTGGCACCTTGTCACTGATTTTCAAAATGAGGTGATACGTGGAAAGATCGCCTCTGTGCGCACACGCACATCCACAGCCGTGCACACGTGTGTGTCCCATCGCAGGGCCGAGCCCCGGCAGCCCTGAGCATTAGAAGCACCACGAAGCACATCGTCACCCGCTCCTCTGCCACCACCGTAGTTCAGAGTGCTTTTTGCCAGAGCTCCTGACTCCGCCATCCACGAGGGACCAGCAGCCCCCACCCCTGTGCTCCAGAGGGGGACAGTCACAGGACCACCCTGCCATGCCTCCTCTGGGAAGGAAGCCAGGGCTTGCCTCCCGCCCCAGATTCACACGCATCTGCCCAGGCTCAGAGCACGCCCGCCTACAGCGTAAAAACACAAACGCGAGCAGAGGTCAGTGCGCGGCGAGGGAGCACGTGCGCTGGGGGTGCCAGTCCCGGTCACCAGAGTTCCAGCCAGAGGCCACAGGAGGGTGGGCTGGCCAGGCAGCGGGGTGGCGGGGCCGGGGCCGCTCAGAGGTGGTGGTTGCTCTGCAGCAGGGAGGTGACGGTGTTCTGCAGCGCCACGGCCACCTTCTTGGAGGTCTTGCGCAGCAGCGGGCTGTCCGGGTGGTGCTCCTTCAGGTGCAGGATGTGGCCCTCCTGGCTCTCGGACGTGCAGCCGCACTCCTCGCACACGTACAGCTTGGCCCGCCGCTCCTTGTACGCGTACTTCTGCTGCACGCCGTGGATCTTCTTGAGGTGAGACTCCAGGGAGCAGCGCTGCGTGAAGGCCTTGTCGCACAGGCTGCACTTGTAGGGCCGGACGCCTGCGAGGGGGACAGGGCTGGGCATCAGGGACCTGACAGCAGCTCCCCAGACCCGGAGAGGCCAAGCCGCCTGTCTCTGGGGACAAGGACGGGACGGAGGCCTGTCTGTCTCCAGCTCCCCGAGTGACCCAACTGCCGAGCTGAGGAGGACTTCTGCCCCGAGCGCCGAGGTGCCCTCCCCGGCCACCCATCACCCAGACCACAGGCCCTGCTGCAGGTTCCCACGTGGACTCAGGCGGGCGCCCAACCACGGGGCTCCGCTCACCAGTGTGGGTGCGGACATGTCTCTTCAGGTCGAAGGTGTCATTGAAACCCTTCCCACAGTAGGTGCAGAGGTGCCTCTTGACGTCGTTGTGACACTTCATGTGGCGATTGAGCATCCGCTGGTAGGAGAAGGTCTTCTGGCAGATATGGCAGGTGAAGATGTCCCCACTGGGGTTGTCCCCCAGAGTCACCTGTGGGCGAGGACAGTCTCCGTGAGCTACTCAGCAGTTGGCATTGCACACTGGCCCCCTGAACAAAGCACTGCCCACCCCGGAGGCCACATCTCCGTGCCACTGGCTCACAGAGATGAGCGGTGACTGGGCCAGAAAGAACCTTTGGGTCAGTGGTCAACGTCCTGTGCGGCTCCCGAGTCCCTCCCAAGGTTGCTTCCCAGCCCCTTCTTTTCTGGAGATGAGTGGCCAACTCCCTATATAAACAGCGCAATTCATCCTCAGCAACTCTACCTGCTAGAAAGTTATCCTTTCACTGAGCCCAAATCTTTCCCTGTAGTTTCTCAGTCTGTGCCTTAGGACAGGGAAAATGTCGACGACACGGTCTCCTGGGCCGCCCTGGGCCAAGGCCACTGCTGTGCGCCTGGAGGCCCCTCCAGGGAGCCCCTCGTGTTACCTGAGCCAGGCCTGACGGGGTTTGAGCCCCTTTGCTTCTTGATGGCTCTCTTGCTTATAAACATTTTTATTTTCTCTTCCTTTTTTTGTAACTGTGGAAAATCTCAAATCTATTCAGAAGTGGAGATGTGGTCTCAATGCTCCACCTCTGTTAATGTTCTGAGGTTGCTGGTATTTTGTGGGATGCCCTGTCGTCGGCAACGCCTCCTCAGCTCCCTGTGCACCGAGTGTGCCCGGTCACACCGCACCCCTTCCCCCTGCAGTGCGCTGGCCCAGCTGAATGCCTGTGGTTGCCAGCTAGTCAAGACCAGGACTCACTCCAGCACACCGGCTCTCCTGGGACCTCGGGTCTGTCTGCTCGCCCTCCTCACCCACTGGGACCCAAGGCCGGGGGGCGGGGGAAGGCTGTGCAGGGGGCCCTGGGTACTGTGCCGGCACTCCAGCCAACCCGGCACCTGTCTCGGTGGTTCTCCTTGAGTTACAACACTCATTTGGCCTCTGCAGGTGACAGAGGAAGGAACAGCCTTCCACTGCCGGTCCTTTCCAGCCTTTTGGCACACAGGACAGTGCTTCAAGGGCCCTTCCACCAGATCAGCGCTGGCAGGTGCCTCCCCGTCCTGTGCCTTTCCGGAAGGCACATCCAGCCAGGGGCAGACCTGCCGTTTGTGTGCGCTCCTCACTCCTCGAAAGCAGGGGCACTTCTGCTGCCTGGCGCACAACTTCCTGGTTCTGCTGCTGAGCACCATGGGGTGCCCACCAGGCCTGCCCTACAGGCAAGGCCCCGAGTGCTGCCACAAGCGGCATACTCGGGCACGGGGGACAGTCAGCCACCAAGCGAGCTCCAGATCTCACTGGCATTGCAGCCCAGGTGGGGGTCCAGGAGAAGCTACTAAGCTGGTCTCCTGTCTCCCAATTTTGCTAGGACTTCGGTGTAAAGAGGTGGCTCCCCTTAAGCCCAGAAATGAAACAAAATCCCCAGAATACACTCCACAGTGTTAAATGCCTTTGGAACCCCACTGCTTCTTCCCGAGGCATGCGTTCTCACTCTGCACCCATCTTTCTTCTTTTCCAGCCCCTGGCCCGGCCCCAGCGAGGTTCGCTTTCTCTGCAAAAACCAGGACCCAGACCCAAGGCCAGTGTCTACCTAGGTTCCATTTGTGCCACCTCTCCAGGCTGCACACCGGCTGCCAGCATGGCTCTGCTCCCTGGAGACAGTGCGAGGGCCCGTACCTTCATCTTGGTGCGCGAGAAGCCATGGTCTCTGCTCTGGGCATCGGCCAAGCGGCCCATGTCTTCAGAGGGCAGCTGGGCCACCACGCAGGGTCCAGAAGCCACACTATAGGTGGAGTCTCGAAGGCTCATGTCCAAAGCCAGGGGGCAAGAAGGGGGTTCGGCCACCGACGGCTCCGGTTCCGGGTAGGGCTGTGCTGAGCAGAAGCCCAGGCTGACTGCAGAGAGAAGGAGAGCCGGGTGAGGGGCTTGGTGGAGGAAGGGGGACTCAGTGGGATTTCAAGAAGGCTCCCTGGCAATGAGCTGGCTGGAACCTGGAGCCTCCATCCCACCCCTCACAGGCATGTGGCAGAGCAGGGCTCCCCCCAGCCCACTACACGCTGCACCTCCCTCCTGCCCCATTAAGGTAATTACAGGTGACGCCAGCCAAGCGCCACGACCCACAGGCCTGCCCGCTGAGTAATTTGTGTCTTAGCGGAACTGGGAGGACCAAACCTGCCCCACCAATTATCCCTCCAGAGCTGTCTGCCTGCCCCGCCTGGGCCAGTCCCTCTGGATTCCAGGCCTCATCCATGCTCCTGCCGGGGCAAAGGGCGCCACGGAGGCCCTGTGTCCAGGGACTCGTCCCCACCCAAGAAGGGTTCCTGGTGGCCTAGGCCACTCTGAGCCTCCCCGGGCCTCTCCCCCAGGCAGATTTAGCTGCCGGCATGGCGGGGGTCAGGGAGAGGGGTGCTCCTAGCCCCTTCCTCCCGTGGATGGGCCCGTCCCTGCTACTGCAGCCCATTAGGGCTCCCGGCGCCCCACTGCCGCGGGCCCAGCTCATCAGGCAAACAGGCCAGGCGGGTGGAGCAGGGAGGAGGTCAGGGAGCAGCAGGTGGATGCTGCGTAACAGTCTCCTGGGCGGCCTGCCCAGCTGTTACGCAACCCTCCCCCGCAGCAGGGACCGCTCACTGGCACAGTGAGGGCTGGGCTCCCGCCCTCCGCAGCACCGATACCTGGCAGCCTTTGACACACCACTCCCCACGACAGACACCTCACGCTCAACGGGGCCAGGGAGGCTTGGCCCTCGTCCTGGCTAGGGAGAAGGAGGAAGAGCTCTGAGTGACACAGAGGAAACAAGTCTCAAACTGACAGCTGGGGCGAATGATCTAGTGTTTCAGTTCAGTCAAGATTTTTCTTCCACGAAGACAGGCCAAGAGAAAGAACGAGTGAGCTTCAGGGAGAGGGACCGAGAAAGTTGAATTAGGGCATCAGACCCATGACAAGGCCCTCTGTTCCTGGCAGCACATAGCTGGCGAGACAGCGTGGACCAGGCCCCGGGGGCCGGAGGGCTGCTGCCCTCACCCCCTCTCCCAGGACGTTGCGGCAGGGACAGACAGGGACGTGGGGGAAGGCAGAGGAGCATACTAATGGTGAGTGAATATGAGAGCACCGAAGTTACGAAGTTTCGGGAGAGGCCCTGGCTCTCGCCCCCTCAAACACAACAAAGGTCTGACAGGGGAAGAATGCGCCAGCCCGCCGCCCAAAACCCGTTCTGCTGGCACTGGCGTCCGTCTGTCCGGGGGACTTTAATGAGCCACCTCATTCTGAGCGTTGATTCACCAGTGCCTGGCCCTGGCCTGGCCTCTGAGCTGGCGTGGCGCCTCCCCCAGCCCCTGAAAGCTGAGTCAGGCCCAAGCTCTTGGGGGTCCCTCTTGCTGCAGTGCCGGCTGTCTGGGTGCAAGAGATGGGGGCAGTTTGTCTCAATCCAGGAAGAGACAAACAGGAACCTCTACCGTCTTCTGACTTTTAGTGCCAGAGAACATGAGCAAGGAGGAAGGCGGGAGCTGGCCGCACATCCAGCGGACGGACAGCAGGCCCCTTGCTCCGGTGGGTGGGGCGTGCGCAGCAGGGTTCTAAGGACCCAGGCCCAGGTTGGGGGTGAGCGTCAGGGTTCTGAGGACCCAGGCCAGTCTGGGAGGAGACCGTGTGCCTGCCTCTCTCCTATCACCAAAACCTTGAAACGATGGTGCTGCGGAGCTGGGGACAGTGTGAGCCTGGCCTCTGTGCCTCCTCTGCCCCGAGAGAGGGGCAGCCCCACGGCTGCCGGGTGGGGGCATTTGCCTCCTCCCAGCCACCTTGCCCAACCTGTCCTCCCACCGCCCCCACGAGCGTGTCCCCAAGCGGCTGCGCGCCCAGGGCGCGCTCATCCGCGTGCCGCCCCTGTCACTGGGCATCACTGAATGGCAGGAGGCAGGAAGCAGAACTGGTTGGGCCCTGCTTGTGCGGCTCTGTCCCCTAATTAGATGTTTCCGGCAAGGCGGTGGCCGCTGTGGCTACTCATTGCCCGCCCACAGCTGTGAAGTGTGGCAAGGCCAAAGCAGCCTGGCCCTCGGCTCACTCCCTCGGGGGTTTGCGGGTTCCCCTCCTCTGGGCCCAACTTGTGGCCATGAGCTGCTTCCCACCCAAGGGCCTCCCCATCCCTCACCCTCAGCTAGTCCCGTCTCTCTTGGATTGAGAGCTGCTGGGTCAAACACCGGACAGAATCCCAGGTCCTGCTCCATCAAAGGCTTCTGTCCAGCGCCGGGCACAAGGGCTGGTCCCTGCTCTCCGAGGAGAGACAGCAAGTGAAGGAGATTTGAGGAAGCACAGTCTCTGACCACAGGGCTGGTGCTGCGCTGAGCTGGGGGGTGAGGTGGCGGGATGGGGTAGCCCTGCGTCAGGACAGCGCAAGCGGACGGTAGGTGGCCTGACACCCTTATCAGCAAGGGCAGGGGGCCTGTGCCTGTCTCCTGCGGCCCCATCGGGCCGGCCAGCAATGCCCAAAAGGAGGCAGGTGCCAGCCGACAGGCCGAGGCTGCAGCCCTGCACACGCAACAGTCTGCCTCTCGGCCCAGCGTCTCCATTCTATGAATGCTGAGCTTTTCTCTCAGGCATTATCTTTGCCCCGTCCCCCAACCACTTTCCATGCCATGTCCATAGTGAAATTGAAAGCGTGCACTTCAGCCCTCACTCTGCGTGGAGAGCCCTGACCAGCCAGGAGCTCTGCTCCGTTGGCGTCCTTCCCACCCCCCTGCCCAGCACAGGGCTGGCGCCCCTGCGGGACTCCACCCGAGACCTGCTGGAGGCCAACAGTGTTGAAGCGCAGTCCTGACACCAACAGGGCCCGCGCTTACTCCCATCCTCCCTGCGCCCAGAGGACTTGCCCTCACCTGCTCTCTTCCTGGGACAAACGGCCTGGCAGGGCTCTGCCTTGGGTCACCCAAGTTAGGACAAACAGCTTGGCAGCTTGGGTGACAGCACCCCAGGGGACAGGTAAGGAGTCCCAGCTAGCCCACCGCCCAGGCCCAAGTTGCTCTTCTGTCCCTGTCCACTGTCTGGCTTTCCGCCCTCCCGGCCTCGCTGCTTGCAGAGCACGGCCCACGTGCCCTTCGCTGCCCCAGGAATTGCAGGAACAATCGCCACCCGAGGGCCCATCTCTCCCCGCCCCCACGTGTGCGTTCTGGGGCCCTGAGCTGATTCCTCAGCCTTTCTAACCTGGCCTGGGGAGAGTGCGGCCCACGGTCCCCACACTGCCCCACCAGGGCCAGGCTGAGAAAGCGCCAGCCTCCTTCATGTGCGGGGCCTGGCTGCCTCCCCAGTGCGGGCTTGTGCTGATGAACTGGCAGAACAGCCAGCAGAGGCTCCGAGGCAGAGCAGCAGGCGGCTGGGGGTCTGGTAGAGGCCCTGGGAGGCCGTGGCCAGGACAGCGTCACTCCAGCTTCCAGGCTCCGTCTGCCTTCAGGAGCCTTTCTGGCCTTGCAACAGTGCACGCAAGGGGCTTGGAGGGCCTGCATGGAGCCCCCTTCCGTCCAAGGAATGGAATTTAGCCCCTGGGTACAGGTGGCCGAGTTCATCCTTAAGAAACCAGCATCACTCCCAGCGCTCCACAGTCAATATTGACATAACAAAGGAGCGACTCTAGGGGAGACCAGGGGGTGGGGAGAGAGAAGTGAAGGGCCCAAACAGGTAGCATTTTAACCTTAACTGTGAGCCCTTTCTTCACTCCCAGCATGAGTGGAGCCATCCCCTGCCCCCTGTGGCCCTCCATCCACTTGGGGCTCTTCCCTGGCTTTGGGAGGGGAGTGAGGCCAGGGGAAAGGTTCTGGCCTGGGGGTGGGGGAACCTCTTGAAATGTGCCCCAGGGAGAGAGGCCAGAATGCTGGTCAGGCTGGGGCCCTGGAGTCTGAGCAGCCAGGCAGGGCCCGGGGCCTTGAGTCAGTAAAAGAAACTCCCTGCAGGTGCTCTCTGCTGCCCCGAGGGTCTCAGAGGGCCCTGGCAGGGAGGTCAGACCTCAGACCCTCCCCCACTGTCCTGCCCTCCAGGCCTCTCATGGGGAGCTGAGGCGGTCAGCGCTCAGCTGGTCACGGTGCACCCAGTCTATGGGGCAGGGTGAAGGAAACGTGCCCAGCTGGCCCCTGGGGTCACAGTTGACTGGTGATAGATGGCCCAGCCTGGGGAGAGGCCACCACAAAACACCCCCCGCCCCGAGCCATCTAAGGTACCCGAGCGTGGCCCGAGAACATTCCATTTCTCATTTCCAAAAACTGGGAGAAAACTCTCCAGTGAGCCACATGGCTTTTGAGGCAGAATTAAGTTAACTTCTGCCCTTTCCTTGACCCCGCAGGACTCCCCTTCGCCAAGCCACGAGGACACGCACCATGATTCGTGTGTGTACCTTCCAAGTCAGACCCCCATCCCGTGTCTGGGGGCCGTCCTGCAGAGGGAGTGGCCTGCAGGTCTTCTCACCTGGACAGCACCAGCAGCTGACACACACCCAGAAGCCCTCCTCTGCACCTGATGGGACAACCCCTAGGATGTAGGTCACCTAGGCCACTCCCACTACGGCCACCAGAAAGCGGTGGGGAAAATCACCAGGGTAAAAGAAGTCAACGATTTCAACAAACGGAATTTCTTTGTCCTTTGTAAAAGTCAACACATGATCTGTTCCTGATTGGGATGTGAAATAAAACTAAAAATAACAGCACACGGAGTCTCACGCGAGGCTCTCAGCTCACCTTTACCACAGTCCAAGTTCAGTTTATCAGATCCCAAGGAGCAGCTAAGCAGCAAGTCAAACACAGGTGAGGGAGGAGGCAGGAGGGAGGAAGCGGCGGACGTCCTCACCAGGCCCTCCGGGAGACGAGCATCAGCCAGCTGGCTGGGAGCTTGGGGAAGCCAGCAACTACAGACAGAAGCCTGGGCCCGCACTCCAGTCCCTCTCAAGGGGCAAGGCAATTCATCCCTTTTGTCTCAGTTTCCCCCCAGGGTCATCAGATACTTGTGGCACATTCCCTTGTTTTTTGTTTTTTGGTTTGTTTTTTAAAACTTTAATCCACACCCAAGGACATTTTTTCATTGCTTTTTGAGAGAAAGAAAAACATCTGATCCATGACCCCCCCATGGGAAAATGGACCAGAAACCTATGTTTGTGCCCTAACTGGGGACTGAACCTGAAACTCTTTGGTTTATGGGGGGACACTCCAACCAACTGAGCCACACCAGCCAAGGCACACATTCCTTTGTATTCAGGAGGCTACAGAAAAGGCGTCTCACGGCTTGACACGAAGGTTGGGCTACAAAACATCCCGCCAGCGCCTCAGGCCTTTGGATACTGGTGGGTCAGGCCGTAAGGATCACACCGCGACACCCACCCTCTCCAAAAATGTGTTCAGGAGAGAAACTGAGGTACGAGCGCTCCCAGGGGCCCCGCGGCCCTCATTTCACCGCTTTCCTACAAGGCCTGGGGCGGTGCCAGGGAGCCAGCGGATCAAGGGTCAAAGTCGGTTGGTTAATTACAACCTCTCCCCCCTTGGAGGCGCTGGACTGGGTGTTCGGCACACCCCCGCTCCACCCCCACGGCCTGGGGAAGGGGGCGTTCCGAAGGAAACTGGCTTTCTCCAGACGGAAGGTTTTGGTGGGGGTGGGGGAGGCCACTAGGAGCAGAAGCGTTCTCAGGGAACTGAGGAAGATGCCACGGGAGGAGGAAACAACTCAAGTTACTCATTCAAAGTAACTCCGACGCCGCGGTCAAGGCGACTTCCAAAAATAAACTGGGTGCACCAGCTTCCCCCCCGACCTCGTCCCCTGGCTGCGGGGCGGCCTCCTTAACCAACTTTTAGCTCAACTGTGTCCTCTGCAAGGTTGGAGGAGACGCGTTTCTAACAGAGGTGAGAACTGATCCCACCTTTGTCTTCAGGGCAAATGGGGTGCAGCCCAGCGTCTTCCCCACGGTCTCCGCGCACCCCACCGGCCCGACCCTCACTGCGACCTTCTGGCCACCAGCGTGCTGGGGGAGAGGGGGAGATCAATGAAGGCGGCTTACACTCTGAGTCTTAACATTTTGCACAAATCTCAACTCCAGCTCGCTCTCTGCGCGCGCCCCCGCCCCAGGTGGCATCGCTCCAGTGCCCTCTTCCCGCCTCATAAAAGTCCCGACTCTCTGGATTTACGACGCGAGAGTGGAGGGTCGCCTGAGCGGTGACACACCCCGTTGCCTCCCCTGCGCCGCGGCTAGGGCCGGTGGAGGGAGGGCGGCATCGCCCCGACCCGCACGTCCCGTACGGGCCCGCTCCGGGCCCCGCCGCGAGGCCTGGGAACCGCTCTCGCGCGCACCAGGAGGCCCCGGGCCCCAGCCCCCACCCGGCATCTCCTTCCGCCGCCCCTGCGCTACCCTCCCCTCCCCCCGCGCCGCGGGCTAACGGGGCTGCGGCCGCTTAAACATTAAATCCGGCGCCCCCACTACGGCGGCCGCCGGGCTCGCGCCACTGCGCTCGCAGGTCCGCTGCCTCGACGGGGCCCCAGGCTGGAGGGCAACGAGGGGCTGGGGGCCCGCGGGCCGGCGACTCACCTGGCACGTAGATCTCGCCGCGCTCCTCGTCTGGAAGCTCGCTCCAGTTCCTCTTGCACGTGGAGACGCACGGCTTCTTCACCAGAAAAGCGCGAGGCATTTTCGAACGCTGCTTGCCCGGCACTGTCCGCTTCCGTAACCAGAGCCGGCGCCGTCCCACCTTTCCCGAGCCGAGCTGGAGGCGGCCAGGGGGAAGGAGCCCGTCAGGGAAGAAGTCGCCAAAGCTCCCCCGCGTTCCACCGAGAGACCGTGCCCTGGACGCCGCGCGCCCGTTTTCAACTCCTCCGAACGAGGTCCCCTGCAGCCAGGTGCACCGGACGAGGGGGAAGCGGCAGGTAAGCGTCTCCCGGCTCGACTAGCGTCCCCCGCGGCCGCTCGGGAAGTCTTAAAGTGCGAGCCGGACGGACGGGTTCACGCTTTATTGGCTCGCGGCGGTGTGTGTTGGTGGCTGGGGCGGGGAGCAGGGGTGATCTGAGCTAATTAGCTTGGAGTGGCCCAGGGAGCGACGGCGCATGCGTTGGGAAATAACGGTGACAACCCACCTATTTGTTACCTGTCGAACCGGTTTTCATTCCGCTGCTGGTGAGGTGGCCTCGCGGCCTGGGCGGGGTGGTTGGGCGGGGGCGGAGGGCGGGTGCAGGGCACCCAGCACCCGGCTGCCCAACCGGCCCGGCCGCCGCCTGCGCGGACCTCCCCGCTGGGGAGCAGCGCTCGCCAACGGGAGTTTGGGAGTTTCGAAGGGAGCAGGGGAGGGGAGGAGGCAACGTTATTTGCACCGGCGCTCGCACGCTCTGCGGGTGATGAAATGAAACTCGCCTAACTGGGTCCGGCCCGGCACGGCGCGCCCCGGGTGCCTGGGGAGGCACGAAACCGTCGGGCGGGAACGGGCGGCCCGGCCCACACTTGTTGAACCCTGCCTGGGTCCCGGTGGCCCAGGATCCCAAAGGCCTGGCTGAGCGATTCGTGTTTCAGCCCAGAGGTACTATTTGTTGGGCTCCACGCGGGAGGGCACGCCGGGCCGCAGGAGTGCGTCAGCCGGTGGGCGGACAGCCGGCTACGCACAGGGCCGCAATAGAAAGCGGAGAGCGGTCAACGCTGGCCGCAAAGTGTGGAAGGCTTTGTGGAGGAAGGGGGCTTTTAAAACTGCTCTGAATCCACTGAGATCCCGAAAGACCCCAGGGCTTACACACGCACAGGAACCCTCATCGTTGTCCCAAATGGACAGATTTCAGGTACATAAAGGCTGGAGGGCTGCGGACTCCCCCTTCCCCATTGCCCTTGACTGAGTTCCTGCCTGGGAGCCCCCCATCCCCACCCTGCAACCTCTCGCCGTGCTCTGTCCAGCCCCCCCCCCCCCCCCCCCGAGGTCCAGCTGGAAAGACCTGCCCTTCTAAGAACCTGCGGCGCTCTGGTGGCCTCCATGAGGCTTGTCACTGTGACACTTCGGTCTCAGTAGAGCTCCTCTTACCAAATGACACAGTAAGGGCAGGGAAGGGACCCCTTGCTCTTTGTAGCTCTCTTCCTACCCCATCTCAGCGTCCCTACCACACACATACCCCTTCCTCACATAGTAAATGTTTGCTGGAACAAATTAGGAGGAAATGAGTCTAAAAAGGAATTCACGCAGTCCAAAAGTCATGGGTGAAAAGAGGGGTAGCCTACTGAAGGTGGACTTCGAGACATCTGGTCAAGGAGGATAGTGTTTTTTAGGGGTTTGGGGTGAGGAAGCTTCTAGAGGCCCTTTGTACCCCCCCCCCCCGCAGGACTTTTATGGAGCATCCAGCTGGGTGGGGAGTGTGACCTGGGGAGCAAGGGAACCCCCTCCACTCCTTCCTGGATGCTGTACATGTAGCCAGGGGGCTTATTTTTCCATCCTGTTTCCTCATCTGTCACCAGAGAATCCTGTCACCAACCTCCTAGGGTCCCTGTGAGGGGGGTGTGGGCTCAGGCTGGGGTGGGGGGGGCGCAGTGCTCACCTCCCCCCCGTTTCCTTCCCCAGGGGTCTGCCTCTGGGCAGCGATGCCTGCCTGTGAACCTTTTGCCCTTAGCCAGGACTGTTTCATTCAACTGACATTAAGTGAGCATCTACTCTGTGCTTATCTTTTGAATAAGTCCTGGAGAAACTAGATGGGCTAACAGAGTTTAGGGGAGAGGCGAATTGAGTTCATTCTATCAATACTTACTGAGCACTTTGGTTGTGCTCGACCCTGGCAAGGGGCTAGTACACAGTAGGTACTTAATGAATACTCCATTGCAGTCTTCAGGGATGACCCTGGACACAAGAGGCAGTCCAGGGCGGGGAGAGCAACTGAAATGTCTCCACTTGTGGGAAGAAAGTTGCACAGTGTTTGGAATGAAGCCCGCGAGAAGGAGGGATGTCCACCCATACTGCTCAGCCTCCACGCCTCTCACTGTGCCTGGCACGTGGTGGGCTAGCAATAGCATTTTTTGAATGAATGAATATCCTATTTTTATTGACTCTTGTGACCCACTCAGACTTCATGTTCCAAGTTTTGGGATAGGCATGAGTACAGAGCAAAGTTCTTTTTTTAATCCTCGCCTGAGGATACATTCATTAATTTTTAGAGAGGAAGAGAGAGAGACATCATTGTGAGAGAGAAACATCAACTGGCTGCCTCCCATATGCACCCTGACTGGGGGACTGAAACTGCGGCCTAGGCGTGTGCCCTGACCGGGAATCAAAGCCGTGACCTTTCAGTGCACGGGACAGTGGTCCAGCCAACAGAGCAACATTGGCCAGGGCGCAAAGTTCTTTATTATAAGGAGAACAATAGTGCAAGGTCAGTGGTAACAGACGACTGGCATTGGCTGTCAAGGAGAGACTAGACAGTGGTGGGGGCTTTGGAGAATGTGCCTATCTAAAGGGGCAGTGGCAGCCCTGGCTGGTGTGGCTCAGTGGATTGAGCGCTGGCTTGTGAACCGCAGGGTCACTGGTTTGATTCCCAGTCAGGGCACATGCCTGGGTTGCAGGCCAGGTCCCCACTTGCGGGCGTACAGGAGGCAACCACCTGTTGATGTTTCTCTTCCTTTCTCGTTCCTTTCCCCTCTCCCTAAAAGTAAATAAGTAAAGTCTTAAAAAAAGGGGGGGGGCATGACAATTATGTCACTTAAGCACAGAAACCCACTGTGGCCGCATCCATCCATTTTCCAAGAGAAGCAGAAAATCCAGGTTTGTATGTGAATGCTATCAGTTTTTAAAAGTTGACTCAATTTTTTAAAAAAACGTAGAATGAGTCAAACAAAATATCTGCGTGGGTCATATTGGACTCATCTGCCGGTCATCTGTGGTCCACGGGCAGCTCTGGAACCAACGTGTGTGAACTTGGGTAAACACGGAGCTAAACTGTGAGCTCCAGCCGTCTGCTCTGTTTGGTGTGCAGTGCCTCTTCAAGATCATTCGTTTGTTCTTTAATTTAGTCAACAAGTATTTTTTAAAATTTGTATTTATTGATTTTAGAGAGAGGGGTGGGTTTGTTTCACTTACTGATGCACTCATTGGTTGATTTTTGTGTGTGCTCTGATCAGGAATCAACCCGTAACCCTGGCGTATTGGGATGACACTCTAACCAACTGAGCTACCTGGCCAAGGCCAATAAATATTTATTGAACCCCAACCAGATACTAGACACTGGGAATTCTGTGATGCAAAGTAAACAAAAAACTAAGGAAACTATTAGTGTGACCCAGGACTTTGACTAGTGACGGGATAGTAACGGGGCGGGGGCGGGGGGTGCTGAGGTCTGAGTGAGACGTGGGAGCCCGCTGTGCAGAGCGGGGAAGCGCTGGCCTGCGGAAGGAACGGCTGGGGCAAAGGCGCTGGGGCGGGGTTAGCCACCTGTGTGGCGACAAAGCGAACTGTGTGGCTGCCGGATCTCGAGGGCACGGGAGGCTGTGGGAACTGAGGAAGCAGAATCAGGGCAGGACAGGCACCTCATGAGGCTCATCGCGGTGGGAAGGCTTGGACTCTGGAAGTGGGAGGATGGAGTGTGTCGCAGGTGGGGCGTGAGGGTGGCGGCCAGTAGGGAGACCAGTAAAGGACGCCGCTTTAAGATCCGAGCAGGAGGCCTTGGTGGCCTGGCCAGTTGCCAACGGAGCCATGAGCGCTGACTCTGGGTGTTCTGAGAGGGCACCTCCCGTTGGCATGATGGGCAGGGGTGTGAAGGCAGGCAGAACCCCAGCAGGCGAGTGAGGACCCTGATCCCCAAAGAGCGGTGGCCGGTACCTGCCTTTGGTGCTGCACTGCCACCCCAGGCAGCCCAGGGAGAGCTAGGGCAGGAGTTGGATGGAGGGACGAGAAGGTTTGGAACCAGCCCTTCCTGTTCTCAGAAAAGGCTTCCGGGAGGGCCGGGGTGGTGTTGCAGCTGAAGGCAGGATGGCTTTTGGAAGCCGAGATATGCTGAGAGGACAAGCAGGAAAGAGCGCTGGGCCAGTCAGGGGTCCCAGGCTCTGTCTCTGGGGACGTGGCCAAGCCACCTAGCCTGTTAAGGCCTCAGTTTACATATCTCTGAAGTGGTGGGGCTCCCGGTCCTGGCTCTGACCCTCCGAGCTGCGAGCGATGCTGTCAGTTTGTTTTCGCCCAGAAGGCTGGAAGCCTGCGGAGATGGACTCAGCCTGAGAGCAGGCCAGCGGCGCCCCGGTGCTGAGGCCTCTGCCTGGCTCAGACAGTGCCTTTCCAGCTGTTTGACGGCAGTGCTGTGGAGGCCACAAAGCCCCGCACACACTGAAGTGCTGCGGGTGGCTCGGTCCCTTCGCCTCTTGCTGCGCTCTGCCCATGGGCCTCAGTCCGCTGCCAGGGAGGGCCCAGTAGGGGATGGGGTGCGGGGCTGCATGTGGGCAGAAAGCCCCTGAGGCGGAGTTGGGGGCGTGGGCAGAGGAGCAGGCGCCCTGGGCCAGCGGGGGCCTCGGGGACAGTGCAGGGGGTGCCCTGGGCTCCAGCTGGAGGAGACCGAGAGCCTGGTTAGACTCACCGCTGTGGCCTTGTGTCTGACCTGCCACAGCCACACTTTTTGTTTTTTTCTAAAGATTTTCTTTATTTGTTTTTAGAGAGAGGGGAAAGAAGGGAGAAAGAGAGGGGGAGAA